ATTGTGGCTATATATGTATATATATAAATGTGTGTGTGTTTGTATTTGTGACAAGCTGCAGCTAATCTTTAGCTGTCTGCTTGGCGATTTCGCCCTTTTGTTTCGCCCTCTTCTGCTGCTGCTGCCTCTGCTGCTGCTTTCGTTGTTGTTGTTGTGGTTGTGTCGAGTACATGGAGGCCATAAAACAAACACTTTTAGTTTGTTGAACTGTGACCGAGGGCTGCGTTTAATTTGTTGTCAAAAATTGCTACCGAAATTTGATGCGGCTGCCAGCTGCCAGCTTGACAACAATGTTTTTCTTCAGTTTTCAACTGCTCACGTCTTTTTTTTTATAAAAATAAATACTTTTTTTTTCGTTGTATATATATGTATATAAATATATTATGGAGAGGGAAAGTTAATAATAGGCTTTACAAAAAATTTAATCCTAAAATAGCTTTAAATATAAGATAAGCTGTCGAAAAAATAAAATAATAATAAATAAATATATATAAATATATATATGTAATGCATAGAGAAATATACGCATATATGCAAAAAAAATATTGTTTTTAAATAAAATAAAAATATTCATATAAAATAATATAAAAAATTATAGTTTTTAAAATGTAATATAATATTTATATAAAATAATTAATATACAAAAAAAATTGATATACAAATAAAATGATATATCTAAAATTTTTAAGACAAATATATATACAATTAAAACCGTATATTTAAATTTATTAATAATTGTTTAAAATATTAATAATAATATAAAATATATATTTAACTACCCTAAAAAAATGATATAATAAATATATTGCCAAATAAAATAATTGGCACATCATTACAATATAAATAAAAGTTCATGAGCTTATGCTATAATTACTTGCTAAATAATTAGCTAATAATTTCCATTAAAATTGCTATGCAAAGTGCCAACAATTTAAAAAACAAAAAATAATTAGCTTAATGCCCTTAAAAATAATACAATAAATATATTGTCATGAAGAATAATTACCAATTCAATGGAATAAATTTTGATATTTGATAGCTAATATAGTAACAAGTAGCTGTTAAATTCAATTAAAATTCCCATTCATGTCGGCAACAAAAGCAATTTCCACTGCGCACTTGCTGATCAAACAATCAAACTGTTGATGCCAATGCACTCTGTGGCTTAATAAATAATAAATGCCGTGGCTGAAGCGTCGAGTTTAGTTGAAAACTCTGTGATTGCCATTTAATTAAAATGCTGCAACAATGCGCAGAAAAGTAGGCTATAGAAAATGTCAGTCGACTGCAGTTGAATAGAAGTGTTGGCAAATACTACAGATATCATCCGAAATGGCTGGGATATTTATTACAGATATCATCTCAAATATGGTGGAAATATGCGTTATAGTTTTGTAAATATCCCTAGGCAGGCAGGCAGTGGTTGACCTCGTTGACTGAATATAAAAACCAATTGGGTTCATCAATACTGTGCGCTGTCTATTGTGCATAAAAACTTGAATAATAAGTATACACATACATATATACTATATTTAGATATGTGCAAATATGTGAAAATATATTTCTATTATTTTTTATTGCACACACATACATACAGATACATATGGTTTTGATGAGCTCACCCACAAGCCGACGAAATTCAGTATAAATTTTTAATTGCCCAGCCATTTGTGTTGCTTAGCATATTCCAAATTTGTTTAGCTTAGCACTTTAATTTGGTCGAAATGAACTCTAGAGCCCTTCTCTGTCGCTGGAGTCCTTCAACTAGTTTCAAAACCTTTCCTGCGGCTACCCTCTTGCTCGTTAAGCGCAGACAAAAGCCACAAAAAACATAAAAACACAGAGAAAAAGTAGAAAAAATGCAAAATTGTTCAAAAATATAAACTAACTGACAGGATGTGGGATTAAAATCTGTACTTGAGCATGTCAGCTTATGAAGAGATACAAAACTCTCATAATTTTATACTCGTGCGTGCAGCCAGACGACAATGGAAAACAATGTAATAGACTTTTTATCATTTACATACAGATATCATATATACATACATACATATAGACCATGGCTGTCTGTGCATAATGCCTTGAACAGGCCACACAAATCGCCGTTACAGCAGCAGAGCGCCTGCTGCTGGGGTGTACTCGACTGACAGATACCCTGGCCTTGTTGGGTATATTCTTCTGTGAGATACCCTAAGTGTAACTGAATTCTAAAGCATTTTAGCCTATGGGTAGAATTCGAATATTGCGAATATCTGAGAGATGAACTGACTTGAAATGTTTAAGAAATTATTTTAGTTATTAGAAATAAGACGAGTGTTGCTACTAGAAGACATCTTCAGTCTGACTGCCTTGGAATATATTAAAAGTAATATCAATGTCGCAAGAGTCCGAGAGTATAATATGCCTACCATAGCCGTAATCCCTAATGGGAAAACGCCACGTAAAATACATTTTGTGAGTTGCTGACTTGAGTCAGAGCTTAACTAAGCTTAACTGCCTTTGAAGACATTCTAGCTTTCATGAAATAGCTGTAGTAGGGTCTATCTTATGTAGAGATACCTTAGACTGATCTGTTTTGGAAAATATGCAAAGTAACAGAGCCTATATCATATATAATTAATATCGATATTTATCGATAACTAAGGATGTCTACAATTTGTTAGCTCAAGCGCTCATTTACAAGAAATCTTCTTCTAAATATAATATTTCATGAACAAAATCAATCTAACCACCTTCTATCAGTTTCAATGGGTATAAATAAGAGCAGAGAGGCCTTTAAGGTTTTTGTCTTTAATTTTTGTGACTCCTCTGCATTTTGATTGATTACACAGACAGTCAAGCGGCGATTCCGACAACGACAAACCGGAAAAGCGATTTTTTTTTGTGCGCTAAAATGTCTTACAGTTCAAAGACTTTGCTTGCCATTCAATATCGCTCACATTTTGACTGGTTGTCAAAAGTGAAAAATAAATTTAATGGACAAAACATGTTGCCAACAGACCTAGCCGATGGCAGAAGCCAGAAGGTTTACGAACTGCTTCTGGCAATATGCAAACTGAATTTGATTTTATGTTAAGTTAATCAACTGTTAAATGGAGTCTCGCGACCCGGGCTCTCTAGAGAGTGGACGCCATAAATTTGCTATTGAAATTTTATGTCAATTTTGGATGTTATCATTTGATAATATGTTAAATTTTGAACTCATTTTTCATTTGGAGGCACAAACTTTATAAATATTTTATTTGTGAATGTTTATTTTAAGAGCAGCTATTGTTGCCCTACGATTTCCTGTACGCTGTTTTCTCAGTAAAAAATATAAAATGTGTAAAGTAGATGAAGGTGTAGATGTACTTGATTTAGCTGCCCTGCACTTAGCCAGCTGCCAAGTGCAAGTACTAAGGCTTATCCCATTGCTTTATGTGTTTCCTAAGGGCAGCAAGACAAAGCGAAACTTTGCAAAAAGTAACTGCCAGCTGCATAAGAAGTAAGAAAAAACGATTGAAGTGAAAAACTCTTGAAAGAGAAGAAGCTAAAAAACCGAAGTTCTCTTTTCGATTTCGATTTCGAGGAATCTTTGCTTGCAGCTGGATGCTGCTGCTGCTGCTGCTGCTGCTGGCAGTGTATTTAGGGTTAATAAAAGGAAAAGCCTTTTCATTTATTTCCATTTGTCTTCCTTTCATTTCATTTCTTTTTGGCTTGGCTTGGCTTTTGGTTGCATGTGCAGAGCCTTATGTGTGGTATATATACTTGTTGCCGCTTAAACACTTAATTTATGTGTGGTGCTTAAGCACTTGCGTGTTGCGTAGTCAGTTCGTCACTTGCAGTCTCGCATTAGCTGGGCATAAATCGTCTGGGCCCAGCTAATGCAGTCGCCATCATTTATTGGCCCATAAATTGCCATGCAAACAAGTTTTCTGACCTTAGCCTGAGTTGCTCTATAAATGGCAGCAAGTAAAGTTGTCAGAGAGAAAAAATTGAGTTAAAGAAACGGTAAAAAAAGAATAAATATTGAAAATGTATCTTCAATATATTTTAAAAATATTTTTATATTTATATTATTATTATTATTATTTTTATTTATATTATTATTATATTTTTTCTGTTTTTTTATTTATGTATTTTCAATATACTTTTAAAATTTTTTTCTATATAATAATCATTTTTTTTTCTGTTTTGTTATTTATGTATTTTCAATTTATTTCAATATTTTTTTTTTATATTTATATTATTATTATATATATATATTTTTTTTTAAATAAATAGAAATATATTTTTCATATTTTTTTCATAAATGTGCTCTTAATAAAAGAATTCACTTATTTTTATATCCTTCATATATTTATTTCATATATAAATATTTTTTCGTATTTTTAAAAATATTTGGATATATTTAATTTTTTTATATTTAATTATTAAATAACTAGAACATGGCTAAAATTCTAGCTAAAATAAGTGAAATTCAGTTTTGCTGCTCTAATAATCATAATTAAGTGTTAAGTGAGATTTAAAATGTATGTATGTCATAAATAAAATACACACAGATATATTAGCATATGATATATGTATAGCAACAACAGTGTAGGTCATACACATATAAACATTTCTGTAAATATTCACGCCAAAACTAAATTTCGTAAGCTATGCACAGCCCTGATAAGAATCCCATAAGAATAGCAATAAAAACAAGAGCCTCAAAGATTTCAACGTCCAATATATGTATAACATTTATTTATAACGCTTTGTAAGACAAGTTAAACTTTATATCTGAATTGTACTTAAGTCTGGAAAGATGTAAGAAAACAAGTTTCAAGGCAAATCCCAAGCCTCGAAGCCCCTAATCGATCTTTTCTGCTACGATAGTTAAATAAAACTATTAGTTAACATTAACACACTGTACATTTATATCGATATATATATACATAGATAACTATCGGGCAACTAACTATTTATAAAGATTTATTTGCTAACTAAACACTTGCAGCGCTGGCGCCTTTCATTTATCACAGCGACTTGGGCGTGGCATAGCCAGTTCTGCCATTGACCGTTTCATTGTTGTTGGCCGCGTTTTGCTTCTTGCGCTTCTTGCGCCATGGAAACTTGCTCACCTCTGCCCCACCGCCTCCCCCGCCCATTGTAGCCGTGCTCGCCGCCTCCTGGTCGGGCAGACCAGGCTCGTCCCGCCGGCTGATTACACGCGTCAGCTTGAGGCGCGTGGCGGGCTGCGGCGGCTCCTCTGCGGACTGGGCGGTTGCCACCAGCAACGCGCCGTTATTTGTGGCCAGCAGCGTGCGTTTGGCACGTGCAGGCGCACAATGGCTGCGAGCCACTTCAACCACTTCCGGATCCAGCAATGCGTGCGTATTGGCATCACTTGGCCGCGAGCTCTGCGTCTGCAGCAGGCGGTGCGGCACGGCGCTGCCCGTCGACGTCGCGTACAGGTCCTGTTTGCGTAGACGCCTGCCAGCCGCAGCGGCTGCACCACCAGCACCACCACTGCCGCTGGCTCCTGCACCGCCGACAGCGGCCAAACTGCTGCTGTTAATTGTTGTGGTTGTCGTATTCGTGCGAATGCTGTCCTGCAGCGACAGCTGGTGGTTGGCATCGCGACAGCGGAACTGCACCACACGATACGATCCATATGGCTCGAGGGCGTTGTTGTTGTTGCTGCAGCTGACGGGCTGCAGCCGCATCGATCCCTGCAGTCGCATCAGAGCACTGTAGTTGTGCTGGTGGTACTGGTGCTGCTGGTGATTGCGGGCCAGACCGAATTGACGTGTTAATGTAATCTGCAAGGCACATTAGGGGGAAAAGAAAAACACCAAAGATTGCCGGCAGCACTCACCTTGAAGGCCTCCCGGAACTTGTGGCTCATAATGTTGTACAGCAGCGGATTGATGCACGTGGACAGGAAGTAGAGCACGCCGGATGTGTAGTGAAGTATGTGATAATAGTCGTTGAAGGCATCGCGACAGCGGCAGACATTAATCAGCGAAACGCCATAGACAGCCATCAGGCGCTGGGCGTGGAAGGGCGCCCAGCAGAGAAAAAAGGCAACGGCTACAGCTACTGCAAAGAGGGCAGAATGGTTTATCAAATACTTGGGGTGGCCTCGGTCTCGCTGCGGTGTGGGCGGCTGCGTGCGGGTGCCGCATGGTGGTAAGGGTTTTAAGTGTATGGCGGCACACATGGCGTATGCGCATCATTGCGTAAAGTTTTCAAAGTGCGTCGCCAACTTTGTTTCGCTTTTCTAGCTGTGTAATCAGTGTATGTGTGTGTGTGTGTGAGGGTTCAAGTGTGAGGGTCTGAGAGGGTGTGTGACTATTGCGCGTTGCTACACTCAGAGAAAAAGTTAGTTTTTCTGTCCACTTTTCTGAAGTCAATTTGTTTGATTGGGTTCTTCCTAATTTTCAACTAAAGAACTTTTCACACATGAATGACTATAAAACTACATATGTATATAATAAAATTCCCAGAACTTTATCTGCTAGAATGTTTCTGACAAAATAAAAAAATTTTATTTATTTTTTTTAATATTGATATATAAACATAATATATTTTGATAAGTTTTTAACTTACAACATTTTTTTTTGTACTTTGAAAATTGTAATCCTAAAAATGAATATAAAAATAAATTAAATACATAAAACAACATAAATATAAATCGAATAATAATTATAATAAAATATATTATATAAAATATATATTTCCCAAAATTATTATATAATATATTATATAAAATATATGTATCCCAAAGTTCGATATTTTGTACAAAATAAATACTTCTCCTGTACTTTCAAAATTTAAATAATTAATTAAGTGCAGTAAATCAAATAAATATTTACACATATGCAAGGAAAATGATAGCAAAATGAATTTAAAAAAAAAAAAAAATTATAAAAAAATAAAATTTGCAATAATATATTTTATTTTTTATTTCATATTATTTACAACAATTTGAACACAATAAACAAAAAAAAAAAAACAAACAAAAAATATTATAATCAAATTTTCTCTGAGTGCATAAAGAATAAATCGACAACGTGCTTAGAGCAGAATGTCTGCTGATTTCAATCAATCAATCAATCAATCAAACGGATAACTTGGCCCGCACTTACCCAACATTCTGATGACACGACTTTGCGCGTTTAGGCCACGATTCGCGTCATAGGCGCGCCTCGGCAGCGACTGCAGCAAACGGCTACGCTTCAGCTTCATGCCAATCAGCACATAGAGCACACAGATCGCCGTCATGGGTCCGCAGAAGAATATAAAGCCCGAGACGGCGAAAACATGCGCGTAAAAGTTGTTCTCCATCTGCAACACGGAATGGCAAGTAAAGTTGCGGCTTGATGGGCAATTAAGCCAGCCTTGTACCCACCGTGCAGGAGTAGCCATCGCCCTGGTTAACCACCGAGAACTGCATGGCCTGTGGCAGGGCCAGCAGGAAGGCCGCCAGCCAAATAGCAAAGATGAATTTGATGGCACGCGATAACTTGGACATGGTGTGTTGCCTGTAAGTGTTTCATTTTTTCAATTTATGCTCCCAAGAACTGACAGTTACATGACTGAAGTACACTTAATGAAACTTTGAGTGCTTGTGTGTGTGTGTGTGGGAGTGTGCGTGTGTGAGTGTGTGTGTACAAAACATAAACTTTTTAAGTGTCAAAAGAAAAAGTACTTAGTTACTTCAATCGCTACAGTTCTTAAACACTCCTAAATTATGGCAGCTTTATACTACATTAATTTAATTAATATGAGAGGAGCTTAAAGCAAGTTCATCTTTATATGTTTGAAGTGAGCTGAATCTTTACTTTGTCTTTATATTCAGAGACTTAACCCTTTGACATATTGAAGCCAGTCTACAATCAAAAACCAACAAGTCAACAAAGGAAATTTTTTATTTTTGGATATATTTTAATTTCCGTAAGAACACTTTACAAAGCCTCGACAGACTATAATAAGACCAAGGGCGTAATTAACATGTACTTAAATATTAAATATTGTATAAACACCTACATAAGTCTATTTATAATCAGAGAAGTAGAGCTTGACGCACCATATTGTGGAGCTACGAGCGAAAGGAACAGACGTTAAGGAAAGGAATGGTAAGTAAAGCTCACGCTTGCTACTATTTTCCTGAGACCCATTCCCATTAACAAACAGACCAGAATATACAGGGTGGGGCCCCTGACCTATTAATGCGTTCACATTTTGGGGAAATTCTATTAAAGCTTGTAAACAATACTCAGAACTATCATTTAACAGAATTATGTACATATAAATAGCTAAAAAAAAAAAAATTAAAAAAAAAACCTGTGTTCCATATCTAAGGCTTGTTATACTGCAAGTAAACAATACACAATATTAAAAAAAAAAATAGTTCAAATCATTTTAAAAATTCGTAAAGCTGTTAAGTTGTTTAAGTCTAATATCTCTCGGATTAAAACAGAGTTATTAAATTAATTTAATACTTAGGTATTTTTTTTTAATATTTCATATCAAATTACATATATTGCATGCAGCAGAAGTAATGAATATTACATTAGAATATACTGCATACACTAGTTTAAGCTAACTATCTATATATCTTCCCTATCTCTTTTCTATATCAATCTGATCAACTACAAATTAATTTTATATATAATGCAAAAACTACAAATAGATACGAAAATAGCAAATTGTTTGTCTTTCTAATTGAAATGTGCAAATGAAAATGGGGAAAAACTTTTCAAAGTTTTCCAAGCCCCTGCGGCTAGAAAACCAGCAAAGGTCACCCCAGATAAAATAGGAGTAAAAACACAAAAAGGGACAAAAAAAAATTGAATGTGCTGTTGGTTTTCATTTAATAAAGAAAACAACAATAATCGCTGGAAGATAGCGCTGCTCATATCAATATTCATTATGTTTGATAACTACTGTAAAAAGTGAGTATATTAAAGGCATTTATGATGCACTGGATACTACCTCGACTATCTCGACTAGTTGGGCTTTAATTACTGGCATACCAAAAGTCAATGAAATAATTTCGTCATGTAATATTGTAAGTGGTAAAAAGCAATAAATATTATATATAGATTTTGGGATTAATTAAGTGTGCCTATATTATGTTAGGGGATATAAATTACAGCCATGAGCCACTGTTGCCGTAGCTAATTAGTTGTTATCTTAGGGTCAATACACGCACACTCACACACTCGCACACCCACTTACCGAAACGGATGGCAGATGGCTATGTAGCGCTCCACGGTGAACGCCGTGATGGTTAGCACCGTGGCGTTGGCTGCCATTTCGGAGAGTACGCTCTCTATGATGCAGATGCCGTCCGTGAAGGGGTACGAGTCGGGACACCACAGATCGTATAGCTCCTGCGGTATGCCTAACGAGATGGCCGGAAGCAGCACATTAAGCATACGCAACGTTAGCCACATAGAATTTACTCCACTCCCACGCCCACGCCCACTCCCACTCGCACTTACCTGCGACGAGCAGAATCAAATCGGAGACGGCCAAATTGAACAGATAGAAGTTAGTGGCCGTGTGCATGAAATTGTTTCGCGAAATGACAATACAGGTGATCAGGTTGCCCAGCACGCCGGCCACAAAGATTAGGGCATAGCAAATAGTTAGGAAAATGAGCAGCGTAGGCGACTCCTCCCAGTTGTCTGCGATAGTTGTGGTCGCTGTCCCCGCTGCCGTTGCCGTTGTGCCATTTGTGCTATTTGCCGTTAGCAGATTTGTTAGATTCTCGGTCGTCATGTTGAGCATTTGGGCGACATGTGTTAGGAATTTGTCATTGTGCAGCAACAACAGCTCCGGGCTGGGGCTGGGACTCGGACCGAGACTGGGCCTGGCATTTGGCAACGTATGAGCCATGAATGATTGATTGAGGCCATCATCGTCGTCACTGCTGCTGGCAAGTGCAAAGTCAACGCTTTGCTTCATGCTGTCGCCGCTGTGTCAATTAATCCGCGGCCCTTGGTTTGGTGTTGACTGCCAACACTGTTATTAATATAGTCTGCTGCTGCTGCTGCTGCTGCTGCTGCTGCTGCTGCTGTCCGCACTTATCGTTATGTTTGACGTGCTGGCTGTGCACATGGCTGATAAGCTCGGCAGCCAGACGACAGGCCCCGAATAAAAACAACAACCTAAGCCGCACAAACAAAAAACAGCCAAAAATTGTGCATTCGCCTGTGAAGCAAACAACAACATTAAAAGTCATTAGACTCAAGCATGAATTTAAATTGTTTTCCAAAAATACTTGGAACATGTCGGCCTATCTGCGACTCCTGCGGCTTCGACTCGCACCCGATTACAACAGGTGGCTGGCCACCTGGCTCTGGCTGTATCACAACTGCGCAATATGCGAGACACTTTAAGTGATAGAAATTCATGCGGAAATTTTATGGCTTATTCGCAATTTCGTTTGACTAAAAATAGGCAGCATCCACTTCACATAGCTGTGGGGCAAGAGTTGTTGGCATAGTTTCGGACCTCCACCCCCACCCCCCATACACAATTTTCTTTGCTGGCAGACGGAGAAAACTTTTCTGGTATTTGTGGTCAGCATAGTGAGGCAAAAGTTTTCGGAACACGAGGTAAAATACGATCGGTCGATGATGATGAATTTAAGCCCGGGGCTTAATGCGAATACGTATACGCAATTTACAGCATCTCTGATAAATGGCATTTAGAGCTCATAATTCACTCATTATTTTTCGTTGGCACGTTGACAATATGCATACGTAAATCTAACAGCTGCCAGCAGCCATGCCATGGCCATAGCACAGGAGTCGAGCGAACTTTTGAACCACACACGCCAACGAGCCTCTTGGTATTAATCATATTTACAGCTCGTGTTCTTTGCCAGCCTTGTTTCGGAATACCTTTTGCATACATTTAGCTAACGTCCGGTAGCATTTTCTTCAAGTATCCCCCCTAAGATTGGAAACGAACCAAAACCGCAAAGATGTTAACTGAAGTGGGGTGAAGCCAAATGATTCCTGGAATCATCAATGGCTAGGCTAATAATACACAATTTTCGTATATTTAATGCTTGCTATATATATGTATATATTTGGATAGGTGTTAATTAAAGTCTTAAGACGGCGCAAAAATTAATTTTTCTAATGCTTTGAAGTTGGATTTATTGATTGGAAATATTATTAAATACTTATATAGACTTTGTTTTAATTTTTAATGAGTTATGAAATTATCAATTGATTGCTTTATTAAAGGAAAGATGTATATTAAAAATATAATTCTTCATCAATTTATTCACAAACATTTTTTTTATAAACTTTTATATTTTAGGATAATTTTTCGTGGCTTAAGATTGTTATCTCTCTCAAGTATACCTCAGTTAAATCAGCTGTTCGTTTTGATTGTCAATTTCGAAAATAATTTTTTTTTATTTAAAAATTTAAACTAAATATTTTAATTAAAATAAAAAAAAAATTTATAAAAATAAATACAATTTATTTAGCCATCTATATCTAAAAAAAATCGTAGCTCATGCTTTCCCATATCTCCCATTGAAGAAAAAGCCTTGAAGCCCCTTGTGAACGCCCTGTGCAAAAATTCATTTTTAAGCTGCAAGGATTTTCTTTCAAAAGCCATTTAAATATTCCAATGAAAATTCCAAAAAATAGCTAAAGTTCCACTGTGCAGAAATTTGACTTTGCACTTTGTGAAAAATTTGATTAGTAAAGTTTTTCTACGGCTTTAATTTGATATCTAATTGATTTATTGACCAAGAGAAATAGTTCAATATTCAAAGTTTGTTAACAATGCAATTGGATTATCATTTACTTGGCTTCTCTGTCTCCGTTCTGGGAATCAAGCGAGATTATACACATTGTCGTTCACTTAAAATTCAATAAAAATCTGTCATAAATACCTATAATGCATTTCACATGAAGCACAATCACTTAGCGCCTTCCGCTTGCATAACTGCAAATTTGATTAGCACATGTGCAAAATCAAATCTTTCGTGGAATTTGATTGTTCTGCTGTGGAACCCGTTCCATGAAATGTTTATGTGTATATGTATGCATGTATATGCAAAAGGACATTTGCTGTTTGTTGTTGAGGAAATATTGCGACGTTGTAAATATTTGTTGATGGAATAATTTAGTTTAGCCCAATCAGGCGTAAATGTCGGCTAGGCCAACCGAAAAAACCCCAATATAAATAATGCTCTCTTTCTGCCCTCCCTCTCTCTCTCTCTCTCTCGCTCTTTCTCTCTGTCTGCTGCCCAAAATACTTGAGTTCGATTTGTAATAATTGTGTGTCCGTCTGTCGATTTCCTGTCTTCAGCCAGCCATTTGATTGTTGCGCAAGGTCATGCCAGCTATTGCGGCTTAAAAGTTTCCCAAACGCTGGCTTTAAGTCTAAATGAGAATTCAGCTCACCCAAATGCGTTCAAATGACAAAGGCCATTAAAAGCGGTTTGATTTGATTTGCCGTCACTCAAGTTGGATCAGCGAGCAGTCGCACCCGAAGGCAACAATTGTTGATATCACCTTACATCCTTAGCCAAACTCGGCGCTGTTGCTAGACGCTCGTTGCCAATGCCTGCAGTCAAAGGCAGCTTCCGCGATAATAACTTAAGCAGTTTATGACTTTGTGCGGGAGAATCACAAACTTCAAAGTTTTTTTTTTTAAAGAGTTTTAATCTAATTGTGCTAATTGACTTGAACTCATTTTATGAGTTTTTTCTTATTCACAAATATGTATAGAAGTTTTCTTACATTATTTAGTTAATTCAAAACTCGCGGCTTTACTCGGCTTTACTTTAGCTCAACTCTTTCTCGGCTCGCCACACGTCCGTTTGGCAGCGCAGTCAATGTTAGACTGAATTTCCGTGTGGCTATTGCAACGGCAGTTGACGCTCGGCTGTCAAGGCTTAACAGCTGTTAGCTAACAGCGGCGTCGCGTCCTGTTAGGCGTCTCTTGCTCTCTCGCTCTCGCTGTTGCTGTCGCCGTCGTTGTTGAATGGCTTTTGTAGCATAATTTCATTCATAAATTCATGTATTTCACCTAGCCTCGATAGAGATGGTAAGCTAGGCCCTCGTCTAACGTGACGTATACGCAATTTAGCGCCAGCTCCATAAATGGTGGGTAATTTAATGAAATGGAATGGAATTGAATTCAAAGTGGAACAAACATATTTAGCATTATATTGAAATGGCAAATGGGCCAAGTCGCCAACAGTTACTTTTAATATTTATTGGCCAAGGCGCCGCCCATTGACGTTCAACTGGTTCTCCGGCGGGCCAGCCAGACAGCCGCAACTGTTCGAGACGCAGCGAAACAATCAAAACTCACGCGAAATCCAAGCCGCAGCTGGCTTCTAAATCGTACAGCCGTCAGTCGTCAGTCGTCAGCGTCTGTCTGTCTGTCTGAATGTCCGCAAAATACCAAAACAAATGTCAATTGTTTTTTCTCCCTTGACTTTGGCAGGACTTTTGAGGACAACTGGCGACCGCATATTAATCTTTGGCTTTGACCGGCCATAGATTTTTGGTATTTACTTAGGCGCCACGCCGCCCCCTCCAACCACCCCCGCGCTGAGCAGCGTGGCAAGTCGTTTTGCGGCTTTAAAGCGGATTTCGCCAGTTTCTTGTTCTGCTTCTGTTATGGCCATGCGCTTTATGGTTATGGCCAAGGGCGTATACCGTGGTGGAACACTTTGTCATCGGCTCATAATTACGCCCCGAATATGGTTTGAGTCAAACAGCTCAAGCATAAATTTATCAAATGAAAATTTTACGCCATTTTCTCATGTAAATAAACATTTGATCAAAGCGAGCAGAGGCAGGGGCGGGCCACTGCAGATAAAAAAAAAGTGCTGAAAGGTGTAATAAAATTGAAGATGGTGCGGTTAACGCTTACGCATAGAGCCGAATTTAGGCATAGATATGAAGCAAAACCTTGCAGTTGGCAGAGCAAAAACTCGATAAGGGTTTTATGATTTTTCGTGTAAGCTTGGATGTAGATTTCTAGCTAGATTACTGAGGGCAGTAGTACATATATGCATATATAATTATTTTTAAATAAATACACATAAATTTAAATATATATTTAAAATTGCAGTCATATTTAAGTTAAGCTGTACTTATATTTAAAATATTTAATTGATTTAACTAAATTTCTAAAAATATATTTATCTATTTATATTATAAATCATAATAAAACTTAGCAAAAACTCGATAAGGGTTTTATGATATTTTGTGTAAGCATTTTGGAGGTAGATTTCTAGCTAGATTACTGATAATTATAATAAGTTTTTACTGATAATTTTTTTTATATATATACACATCAATTTAAATATGTATTTAAAATAACATTTATATTTAAGTTTGGCTGTAGTTATATTTAAAATATTTAATTGATATAACAAAATTTCTAAAAATATATTTATCTATTTATCTTATAAATCATAATAAAACTTCACCCTCAACTTCATTTTCTTTCATATTTAGTGCCAAAAATTAATTATGATACCACAATGCTCTTAGCAAACGCATGTTTTCATATCACATATCATCACATATCATATACGCCCTCTCAGACAGCTCTGGCATACATATATTCAGAAGTATAATCGCATCAAGGACATCTGAGCTGAATGTGGCGCAAATAATCACAGACAATAATCTGCTTTTCGGCCATGGATTATTCATGAGATGTGCAGATAAGATAAGCCAGAGCAAATGCTCACATTTGCTCGCACTATTTAATTGGGTATTGCGCCACCTTGGCCAACATCCACTGGCCGGCGATTCAATTGTAATTGCTGCGACAAAGTCTGTGGTCAGGCCGGGCAGAGACTGATTAGCATAGAGCACATGTGGCGCATGTGGCCCATGTGGGGGGCGCAGCGTGGGCTGTGAGCTGCCTAAATGGCTGGGCTTAAATCAAGGAGGGTCGACCACAGCACGGGAGGCTGCTCTAGGGGCGCTTATCTTGATGGACGAGTGCAGTGGGGACGATAATTTGAGCAAGTTGGGCACAGTCGCAGGAGCTTCAGCTGTAATTGAATCGAGCGTGTGTGCGAGCTCAATGAACTTTGCATTGTAAATTCCACAGCTGTTCCGTTTTGCTTCAGTCTGTCTCTCTGCTCATCACTCATACGCCCCGAATGCCAGCTGCGGACAAGGCTTTTAATCAAATGAAGCCGCTGTCAGAATGTTCGACTTTTTCTTTTGTGGAATTGAGTTTTGGGCAAGGCCGTCTAATGCGCGGCTCAATGGCTAATCGAAGAGTACAATTAGCCAGAAAAAGCCAAGACGTTGACTTGTTGCCAACGCGTGCCTGGGTCAAATAAATCGAAAATAAAATAACAAAATGAAAATGAATAAGAAAAAGGAAAATACGTTATACCCCTCAAAAAAAAAAGAAAACAATTAAAACTGCCTGTCATGCCAAATACCCTTGACTCCACTGGAATATGCATATCATTTTAATTTCATGGGAAACTTAAAGAGAAAACAAACAGAAGAAATGACAAAGCGCACAATGAGCAACAGCAGCTGCCTTCATTTTCATCTCTAAGAGGACAACATCAAGTTAGAGCTGTGACTTCCTGGAAAAGGATTGAAACAGAATGAGACAAATAGGTTCTGAGAACTTGTTTACACTAGGCCAACGCATCTGGAGGACTGACTCAATTTCAGCAACTGGCCCAATTCGCATGAAATTTATACTTGTAAATAGTTTAGGCTATGCTAATCTTAATATACCTTTGCTAAGTGCGTTGCGTGCTCGATAAGCTGGCTGGAGCAATGGCCAACGGGTTGGTCGAACTGCGAATGGCTTTTGGCCCGACCCGTGGTTTGGCTTGCAATAAAACTAAATGAATTGGAAACTTGCACCAACTGCGATCCAAGAGCCCAGCGACAATGGCCAAACTTCAAAAAGAAAACAGCACAAAAAACACAAAAACAAAAACAACAATGGAAATAGAAATAGAAATAAGAAAAACATCGACGTGAACCCCGTTCGGTTGCTCCGGCTGATGTCATGCCTGTTGTTCATAAAGAAAACAAACGAATTCTTTGACTTGAGCGCAAGAAAAGCCGAGCACAACTTGAAAATTGAAAGGCGACAGCTGACAATTTGCTGTTTTTCGGGCGGCCTGAGTGGGTCTCCTGGCACGTGCTGGGCTGCTGCTGTGTGTCGCTGTTTGCCTTGGCATTGAAGAGGATGCAGGAGCCATGCCGTTGTCTGCTGGGTATGGTGTCAGCTGCTAAACATCTATCTCAACTGTTGTAGCGCCTACTGTTTGTTTAGGCCTTTTCTTTTGATTAAGTGACAGCGCCCCATCACCCTCGCACCTCTCTTGTTTATGCACTATTTGCATAGGGATTGAGATATCGAATGCAGGCAATGAATTTGATTTATTTGCCCTTGTCATTCGCACGCAATTCCTCAATCGCATCAAATAACAACATTTATGCGTTTAGGGGAACTAGGCCTTAGCTTTTATGAGCCGTAAAGCTATGATAGATTCCCTGGCACACGCCCATTAAACCGACTGGGCTAACAAGCGCCCAGCGGGCTCATAAAATCTTACCAACTACAAGCCATAAAATGGGCACACGCCAATTTCAGTTAGCCATTTAACTGGCCAACAATTCAGCCTCCCTATCTCTCGCTCTCTCTCCCTCGTTTCTCTCTGTCTATCTGACGGCATTCTTATATTTCAATTTCGATAGCTGCCATTGGCGAAGGAGATTAAAAACTTGATCTGCTGCTGCTTTCGGCGCTTAAAGTCTCAGTTACCTTTCAGTCACATTTTCGTGTAGAAAATTCTGGAAAATTTTAATTGTTTTCAATTGTGGATTTTAAACAATGTTAATAGAATGTTACATAGAATTTGGTTTATTCTTAGGAAAGTGTTTGACTTTCACTGGCATATCAACTTAAAAGAAAAGTAATGAAAGTGAAATATTTATGATAACAAACAAGAATGTTACAGTCGGGTATCATCGACTGCATAATACTCAGCCTGCAAATGCAGTTGGAAAAGAAAACTCTACCAACTTACAAGAGGCATATCTACATAATTTTAAGTCAAGAAATGTAAGATCTCAACCGTTGATTTTTTTATAGCTTGGTGGATATTAAAAATATGTCGTTGTATTGACTATATGTGTTCGAACACATGTTGACAAGGCGATTATATATATTTATATATTTATATATTTATGTGGGTTACCCATTTACCACCCCTCTGAATAACTGAAATATCTAAATGCTATAAGATACATATATATTCCAATCCAATCCAATATACCCGTTTGGGTAAATGAGCATTCGAACGTCTCTGCAAAAGAAAAATAATTAAAATTAATTATAGATACTAAAATACATATGTATGTATATAGATTGCCACAAATTTATACACGCGCTTAATGAATAATCACTCTAAGGCATCAGCCATAATCGAAGCATAATTAATTTTGTAAATTTGTAATGCGGTTCGCTTTAACAACTCATTGGCTAGGAATGTGGGCTTCTGACTGCGTAAACATTTATGAGCTTAGTATGAAGTCGTTTATAGTTAATTGAATCTATGTCAAGCTGGCTGGAATTGTGGTCATTAGTGTGGCTAAAGGTCATCATTAGTGAGGTTCTGGATGCGCCCAGGACTCGAGAACACGTAATCAGCCAGGCTCAAACACTTAAAGCAGACCCTAAATAAGATTAAGTGCATGCCACAATATTAAGTATTTGCATTTTTATATAGAGAGAGACGGACAGTGTGTGAGAGAGAGAGAGAGGGCAGCAGTGCGGGCAAGAGAGCGCCGTCGCAGAATCTGGCTAAAAGCAACCGGTAGTTCTTGCTGTGCTGCCAGCGTCGGCAGCGACTGTTGCGTCGCACTGTTAACATCTGCCGCCAGAGAATTTGGGGCCAACCAAAATTCAGTCGCTGTTAAACGGATGCTGCGGGCAGTTGTTCTGTCGCTGTCGACCAGCTCGTGGCCCGGCTACGAAACGCAAACGAAACGTGACGCGTCGTATACGCTATATATTCGAAAAACAACAAGTAATAACAATCAACAAATAAGTAAATAAATGATGCAAAATTCTTGAAAATTTTCAATTTGCTACGCACAAATTCCAATACCTAAAAAGAAAGACAAAACTGTTTAATTAATGTCTGGCCGTAAAGCCTGTTAATAAGTTAATAATCGTGCTTTTAGCGATTTGTTACTAATATGTACATACATGCATACAGGCCATATTCCAAATAAGTGAATAAGTATATGTATAATGTATGTAAATGAAGAAGAAGCAGACGAAACAGATCAACAAAGTGCATTGCTCGCAGAGTTACTCAAAACAATATCAAAAGCAGTTCAAAGCAATAAAAAATAATCAAAAGACGAATGCAAAAAGCTGAATGCATAAAAATGTGGCAGGCAACATTTAATAAATTTCAATTAAACGTGTTTTAAATGCACAAACGATTTCCAGCATCAACCAAAAAACGAACTACAACAAAAGAGCAACAAATGAATTCATAATTAATTGGGAATCAGTGAATAAATACGAAAATATTTGCAGCAGCCATTAGAAAGAAATGCAAATCGAATTGAAAAAAAAAAAAAATCATTAAATCATCATTAAGCAAAAAAAAAGTATATATATAAATATATATATATTTATATAAAAAATATAATTTAAAAGACATACAAAAATATTTAAAAATATTTTCTGTTTTTTTTTTTTCTTTCTGAAACACATAAAAATAAATAAAGAAGTCATATAAATAGCAACAATACTCATTAAAAAAAAAGAAAAAAAAATCAAAAACTTCCATTTAATATTTTTGTTTGTTTAAAATCATTTTTGTTCTTCTTTTTGTTGACATCTGGCATTTGTTAACGCTTGGCTTGAAGTCTTTCGGAAAGCAATATTATCTGAAATATCTAGCTGAAGTTGTCCACTCATTAGTGCAAATTTAACCAAATTTAAGAAAAATAAGCAAATATAATAAAATTTCATATGCAAATACTTTCCAAAAACAAAATCCAAGTCCTAATTCCAGTGAATCGACTATACAAATGTCGCTGCATAACTTATGGAGGCGATGATATGACTTTCTGGCCATGTTGAAAGGCCCGGCCAATCAATGGGCTACACAAAATAATGCCGAATCAGAAATAAATAACGACAACTCGCTATATTAGTAATTAATAAAACACAACAATAATAAAAATAAATAAACCGCTAATACAAACGAAACCTGTTCTGGCCCAAACATTTATATGGCTAAAATCGAACTCGACAACATTCTTGAAAAATAACGTATGCCTGCCTGCCGCATAACATTTGAAAACATAGCAAAACAAAGAAATAAATATGTTAAAAGTAACATAAAATTTAAAAAATGAAATAAATTTTGTTGTTGATTTGCAAAAAACCAAAAAGTTAACTCCTATTCTGGACACTAGCAACAACGACCTTGTCCGTTGCTAGCCAATCAAATCTCAATTTGTTATGGAAATGTGCTTTGAGGGATATTGTAGATCCTACGAATTGCTCGACTCACTCCAGCCTTACCTGGCTAATATTTAATTGATGAATATCAACGAAATTGCCACGCGCCGCTGCCTAATGAAAATTTAATGTGCAAACTTTGCGCATTATGAAAATGTTATTGGCTCTGCAGCTGGCAGACATAATATAATTGTTTCAGCATTTGGCATACATATATATATATATATATATATATGCAAAGATTTGACTTTAACTAAAATTGCATTTTACATATCTAATACATCAATTGACATATATCTATATATATATTTACTTTGCATATTCACTCAGTCCAATAGAGCATACAAATGACATCTTAGCTGTCAAGCACACACACAGGCACACACACACACACGCACACACAACACAGAGCGAGAGAGAGACACAGCTATGCCCGCCATGTTGCCGGGCAGCGCAAATGTGTCTAGCATGGGCGCAACCATGCCCCTTTTGTCTGATCTGCAACTGTTTCACAGTGAGAAATTCCTTTTGAATTTAACCCAAGTGCTGAACATATCAGCGGACAATCTGACGGAGCTGCTGCAGGGACTGGAGCCGCACGATCTGCTGACGAACCAAAGCTCGCACACAATGGCCACCCACATGGGTCTCTTAGCCACGCTCAGCATTGGCTATGCGCTCATCTTTATTGCGGGCGTGCTGGGCAATCTAATCACCTGCATTGTCATCTCGCGGAACAATTTCATGCACACGGCCACCAATTTCTATCTATTCAATTTGGCCATATCGGATCTCATACTGCTGTGCTCGGGTCGGTAGCATGCCGTCTATTGTGATTGTGATTGTAATTAGCTGGCTAATCCTTTGGCTTGCAGGCATGCCGCAGGACCTGTACAACCTCTGGCACCCAGACAGCTATCCCTTCTCAGACGGCATTTGCATATTGGAGAGCGTGCTGTCCGAGACGGCGGCCAATGCCACCGTCCTGACCATCACCTCGTTCACCGTGGAGCGCTACATTGCCATTTGCCATCCGTTCAGGTGAGTGGCCTTGACCAGCCCGCCCGCCCGCTTGCTAGCCACTTGATTGATGTCAACTCCTACCAGGCAGCACACCATGTCCAAGCTGTCGCGTGCCATCAAGTTCATCTTTGCCATTTGGATAGCCGCCCTGTTGCTCGCCCTGCCGCAGGCCATTCAATTCTCCGTGGTCACACAGAGTCCGGGCTCATCATGTACGGTAAATGTTGGTACTACTACTACTACTACAAAGACATTTCAATCTACTCTAATAGAGAGTTGGGGTAGATGAAGCAAGAGAAGAAGAAGAGGCGTTAATACTTATAGGGAAACATAAAATTAGGCAAAAGATTGTTGAACCTTAGTTGGATTAAAGATTAGAGTCTTACTTGCATAGGGCGTAATGTCTAATGGAAGGAGTAATACGAAGTAAACAGCTAACGCTTCAAAACTATTCACAATAATACTTCTTCTTAATCATCCTGAACAGCTTGGTATTTATACACAGATCTTGAGATCTACTATATATAAAGACTTATGGATTATAATTGCCTCTTCCTTTTCTAAATAGCTATATATTTTATAACAGTATGAATAGCTGAGATTGATATCAAATAAGGGCGAGAAAAAGTTACTTAAAAGTTATCACATATTTAACTCCCTTATAAGTAAAGATAGATGTTTATTCCTTGTTTGTATGAACAACCACTCACTATAGCTACTGACAGCTGTATATCAACGATTGTGCCTCCATAAACTATATCAGCAAGTCTCTCTTTTATCTTCTTTAAGACTCTTAAGTGGAACCACTTTACAACATCATTTGAGTTTATTTACATTTCTAATTAAATTCATTATTTATGACCCTCTGTTTCGGCTGGCGAACTATTAAATTATTGTTCATTAGCATTGGACCTCTACAGCATTATATTAAAATTAGTTCTTCAAGGCGACACGTGTTTACTATGCAAAGTCACTAAATTAAGCAATATCAAGCTTATAAACATGCACAAGAATGTAGAAACTGATCGAAACGAGACGAGTATATCATATAAGGAGAGGAAGAGTGAAAGAATTTAATGGTGTAAATATACATATATAGGATAGGATTTGAGTGCTTCCTCAACATAGTCTTTCATCTTTAGCCGATTATATTTGCCAAGCTAATATACATAGTATATAATTTGCGTATATGTATATCCATACACTTACTACACTACCCTACTCTAAGGGAATTCCAATTTCAATAATTCAAGATTATTTTCTCGTTTTATTTATGTTTCTATTATATTTATATTTCTATTGCTTATTCTATGCAGTCGACCCTCATTATTCCGAAACTGGGACTCTTAACATATTACGACTTATCGCATGAGAAAAAATTAATAAAGCTTCGAGTTATCAAGGGAATTCATTTAACTGCTGATATTTTACACATTCGCAATATTTGCCTAAATTAATTAATCTTTGCAAATAAATCATTTATACGGGTTTGCTTCGATATTTGCTGGCATTTTACATATTTGCTATGTTTGCTCAAATTAATTAATCTTTGAAAAGAACTCATTTCTATGGGTTTTGCACATTGCGGCTGTTCAGACTCTGCAATAATTTTGTAGACAAAAGTTTATAAAGTTATCCAACGAGGCTCTTGCAGCTCTTCCAAAGGTTCTAATCTATGGTCTTCATCTTCATTGTTGCTCCTCTCATTCGCATCTGTTAGGGATCCTGAAACAGCAACATCTTCATCCACTTGAGCATAGTCTTTTTTTTTCGTGATAACTTGAAATAATTGAGAGTTTCGATATATCGTGGGTTTGAAATAACGAGAGTCGACTGTATTTATCTGCAAGGGCATTCAACTATCGGCACTCAGCATATAACTTTTGGTTTCTCATTAATCCAGTCTCTCTGTTGCTTACATATATACACATACATGCGCATATGTATATTTGTTAAGCCGAGAGACATGCAGAGATACTTATGCATCGCATTACATTGTCATTACTTTTTGACAGATGAATAACGACTTTTTTGCACACGTCTTCGCCGTGTCCGGCTTTCTGTTCTTTGGCGGGCCGATGACGGCCATCTGTGTGCTGTACGTGCTCATCGGGATCAAGCTGAAGCGCAGCCGTCTGCTCCAGGCGCTGCCGCGTCGCAGCTACGATGTTAATCGCGGCATCAGCGCCCAGACGCGCGTCATCCGGATGCTGGGTGAGTGAGTGGGTGTCTATGGATGCTGCTGCTGTTGCGTGGCCATCAACTCATTGACAACTAACAAATTCATTCATACTTTTATTTTTGGTGGCTTTGCAGTGGCTGTGGCAGTTGCCTTCTTCATCTGCTGGGCGCCCTTCCATGCCCAGCGCCTGATGGCCGTGTATGGGTCCACCTTTGGCGTCGAGTCGCAGTGGTTCAACGACGTGTTCAACGTACTGAACTATACATCCGGCGTGCTCTACTTTCTCTCCACCTGCATCAACCCGCTGCTGTACAACATAATGAGCCACAAGTTTCGCGAGGCATTCAAGGTGAGTGGAGCTCAGCGGTCAGCAGGTGTATGGACCCGCGTTTAACTCTCCCCTCTGGCCTGCAGGTCACTCTGGCTCGTCAATTTCGACTCTCGGGCAAGCATCAGGGTCACGGCCTGCCGCACAATTACAGCGCGCTGCGGCGCAATCAAACGGGCTCGCTGCGTCTGCACACAGTAAGCACACGCTACAATGCACTAATCACTATTGTTGGTCAAACGCCATTGGCTCTCTTTATCCCCCTGCAGGACAGCGTGCGCACAACCACAACGCTGACCACACTGAACGGCTGCAGCAGCAACGGGACTGCCGCTGGCGGCGCACGCAGCTCGCAGCGCCTGCAGCGAGGGTCGCTCAACAGTTCGCACGCCACATTGCTGAGCACGCAGAGCCGCAGCAGACAGGACTTGTTTGCCGCCCGTGTGGCAGGAGGGGAAGGGGCAGCCGCAGCAGCGGCGGCGGCAGTGGGCGCAGCAGCCACTGCCGCAGCCATGCATCCACATCCCCATCGCACGCTGCAGACACAAATCTCACAATTGTCTTCGGTGGGCGATGCCCACTCGCTGCTGGAGGCGGACCTGCAGTGGCCCGAGGAGCATTACGAGCTGGCTGCCCGGCATGGCAAGGGCTCGCATTCGGCAATGGGCGCCATTGACGAGCTGAGCTGTCAATCAAGTGCTGTGGGCGGGGCGGCTGCTGTGGGGCTGTCCCGGCCGCGTGTTAAGCTCACGCGCATCACACGGCAGCCCCAGCTGCAGACAACTACCAGCGACTCAACACCAGCAGCAGCAGCAGCAGCAGCAACAACAATAGCAGCGACGACGACGACGACAGCTGCTGCTGCTGTGGCCAAGTCAACGGGCAGTGGCAAAGTGCGCAAGGCGAAGGTTAAACGCTCGACTACACTCAAGGCTCTCAAAGCCAAATTGAATTGGCGTGGCAGGCAGAAGAAGAAGGAGGAGCAGGAGGAACAGCAGGCGGAGGAGGCTGGCGCCAGCAACCATGTTGCTGATGGCCAGACAAGTGCGGCATCAACGCCAAGTGCCGTTTATTAGTCAGCCAGTCAGGCAGTCAGTCCATTCCAGATAAAGGACAGGTACTCGTAACTGTGATAAGAGCAGCAGCAGCAGCAGCAGCAGCAGCAGCATGAATACTACAGCAACTACAACAAACCTAAATAATTCCAATTTGTGGCCAACTTAGAGCCAACTCAATTCCTAGCAAATACTTAGTCATATAAATATATATATGTGTATACTATATACTCGTTATGTTTCTGATCTGCTTGCATGTGTCTCAATTTCTCTTAATAAAGCAGTCGCATTTTAACTCACATATCTCTCTCTCTCTCTCTCTCTCTCTCTCTCTCTCTCTCTCTCTCTCTCTCTCTCTTATATCTTAGCAGCAAGCAAATTATCTGCCACAGACTAATGAATTTCATGCAAGTCTGTGAATGCAGCAGCCACTGTAGCTTAATCCTCAGTAATTAAGATGTCTATCGGACGCATAAATTCGCTCCTTCTTCACTTCTTTTTTTTTTGGGTCTAGACTTTTCGAGTGGCTTAGCCAAGCGACAGCTGTAAAATGCGCATCAGCCATTTTTTATAAAATGGCGTGCATGTGTGGGCGTGTGCGTGTGTGTGTGTGTGACATGTCCATGCCCTTGACTAATTACGACAACTCATTAGGCAAGCTGTTCGAGTACTCGACTCTCATATACCCGCACTCGACTGCGGCCAAATTGCAGTCGGCGCGTCGAGCGAGTCATAAAGCCAAAATACTTTAAACTAATTGAAACGAAAATTGAGCAAAATTTGTGAAGATTAATGTGAAATTGAAGCAAAGAGATTAGTGGCTAAATAAGTGATTATGCTGAGAGCATTGCCTCGCTTTCCACTCGCCATTCGGCGGCTTTATTAATGCTGGATTTGGTTTTAATTAGTAAATTTACATTTCTTTAGGATTTTCTAGCTTGTTGTAGCCGTGCAGTGACTCGTGCTAGTTTTTTCTCTGTTTATATATGAATAAGTATTTGGCTCTTAGCAGAGATGCAGGACTATTGCAATACTGATATGGAAGTACGATGTGGGGGCATTGTAAAGGGAATATACTCATGAGACTTTTGCATCTTCTATGACGCAGCATGTTGGCCTGGAAGGACAGTTTGTGAGGATGTATGTATTGCTGATTTATATAAAAAAGAGTCGAGCTGAGCATTTACCTCAATTAAGTAATAATTCAATTCAACTCAATAAACATTCAACTAAATTGCTAAACAAAGTTTAAAAATTTATCTATCAGTTATTTGAATCAATTGAAACTTATCCGAATATATAATCGAAATGAGAGCCAGCTTTTTTATTACATTCTTAATATTCTAACAGAAAATATCAGGTGTCAAGCAATAGAGTTGATAGTCGTATCCTCTTCTCCCTGACGGGGCACCAACAAATAAAATTTGAGCGGCTGCCTCGAGTTGCAAAGTTGCTCAAAGTCATTTGAATGCAATTTACATGGAAAGGTGCAACGGTCCCCTTCACTTCGTTTACAAAGAAAGTAGAGAAAACTAAATAATAATAATATTTTTACCATTATTTTTATTTAAGACTACCATACCCTATCAAAACTTTCTATATTAAGGCAGAGGCAGTTCAGCTCAGCTGATTATTAATTCAACAGAAAACAATACGAAGAGTGGGTAAAACCTTATGAAGAAAACTCAACTCAACTCCATTGATTACGTTATTTAATTGTTTCTATCGCAATGGAAATCCAGTTAGATAACATACTTAGTCATTGTCTGCTTGCCTTACATTCTAATATCAAGCTAGCAACTCCTCTCAGACCCTCCGGTGCAGGTATGCACAAAGTGCCAGCTGTGCACTTTGTGTCACATTTAGTTTTAATTGTTAGCGAGGAATTAATTAAGCGACAGAGCACAATTCTGTGGCTGGCGCCGAGTGTGAGCCAGAATAAATGTTTCGCAAATTCATAAAGTGCAGCGCGTGTGGCACAGTTGCTGGCAACATTTTATAGTTGACAGCATTAGAAGCCACTTTGACCGCAGCATAACGAAAGTGTTGGCCAAATGAAAAGAACATTTATAAATGCCAACTGGCGCAGGTGAAAGCGAAACCAAATGCGGTGCAATTCAGCTGGGCTCTAGCTAAAAATGTTGGGCCTTATGTTAGTGTGGAACGCTGAAATAGTTAAGGGCAAACTTCAATTGAGTATAAAATATTTGTAGCTATGCCAGACATCATATTAAGTATACGCAGTGAGTCACATCGTGGCGCTTGGTCAATGCCCAGGCGGGAATTTCCAGAAACTGTCGGCAGTTGAGTAAGTAACTGATTCACTTTACTATGCTAATCATTTGGCTTATGAACAAAAACAGGCTGTTAGTCTGTTGTCCCGACAAAGGGAGAACAGCGAAAAAAAAAAGAAAAACATTTTCATCAAATTTGCCAGCATTTATCGTGTGTGACATGTCAAAGTCTAAATAGTAGCCGATGAACTTTATCAGTTTTTATGAGCGACCTAAAAAAGCGTCAGAAGAAAAGAATACAGTGCGTGTGTCTGATGTGCAGACATGGCCAAAAATTGGTTACTTTGGCAACCGCACAATAAATTTTAGTGTCCCCTTATGCCATCAAATTTACTATCTACTATCGCTTTGCCATGCATTCAACTTGTCTGGGCGCAGATAGAGCGGGGTCTGTACACGTAGCATTCAATTTACGGGCAAATGAAATGAAAATGCGCCTTTCTGTTTGTTTGTTTCTTGCTTTATTTTCTTTACGTCTGTTTTGTATTTTAAATTTTGCTAATACGTCTTCACACGCTCAAGCTCACGCACTGGCACACACATTTCACACAATTGAGATTGAGCGCATAAATTGCATGCGAATATCGGATAGAGACGACGAGTGAAAAAGAACTAAGGGACTCGGCTGGCAATAAACTCCACACACAAACACAATTCCATTTATATGTAGAGGCGCCCCGTTAGCAATTCAAATGCGCCTTATCAATTGGGGGCGTAATGACGAGCCCATAAATTATTGTTGCCTACTTTCTTGCGGCGCCGCTACTGAAATTATTTATCGCTCTCCGATGGGGCTCACACTCGATATCAAGTTATTTAAGACTCAATTAGTTAACACGGCTCATTCGCACTCTAATTGCCAGACGCAAGCAGCCAATGGCAAATATATACATAAATTTACATAGAAAATACACGAGAAAATGATTTGATTTGAGCATTTGAGCACGTGTTGGTCAGTGCCTAGAGAGGAGAGCGTGTCGTGACACGAATCAGTTACATCGATCTTACAGTCTATATCTATATCTATATCTATATCTATATCTATATCTATATCTATATCTATATCTATATCTATATCTATATCTATATCTATAT